AAAAGGAACAAGATTTACATTTGCTGCTTTGTCAAAGGCATTCTTACATGGTGCTGAAAGCAACAGTGACTACTGGTTGTGGCTGTGGTGCTGCTTGGACTCACCGTTTCTCTCCTTAGCGTGTACACCCTCAGTGCAAATGTCACCACAGGGAAAAGGCAAAGGCAGTATTGTTAGGAAATCAGTCTAGACCTTACAGGCATTTAAAATGGTCTTGAGAAGCCCTATAAGTCAACACTGTTGGGGGGGGGGGGCAACGTAAAAGATGAAGGAGGGGGAATGTGGTCCATGTGCTTTGTGTGCACATATGAAACAGAACACTGAAACCTTTTGTAATTGTCTTGGGGGAAAGAGAGTTGGGAGAACCCAACCAATGTGACATGTAAGGCTATTCAGAAATGTCACAATGAATCCCAGTCCCCACTCCCAATCCCACCCCGTACAGTTAATATATGCTAATAAAAATAAAATTAAAAGAAAAAAAAAAAGGAAGGTTTGCTGGGACCATGGTCCAATTTCTCCATTTTTCAGAAGGGAAAAGTGACATCCGTGGGGGAAGGGCTTAGGGATAAGCTTGTGCAAGTTTATTTGGCAAGTCAGACAGGAGGTTGTTAGTGGCTCTCTGCATCACCCCAAGGTCGATTTAATAGCCCCTCTGACATCAGCACAGACAAGAGACAGATGAGATGTCATACAAAGATTTGTGTCTCTGACCCCAACGGGCAAAACATTTCTCAGCTAAGGACCATGGATAGGATGTGTTTTCACACTTAAAAAGATGAAAACACTAAATAGATTTCTGGTTTCAACTCCAACATGTGAACAGCTTGGAAGATGTCACTCCTATCCTCAAAGAAAAACTTACACAAACTCAGAATCAATGACTTACTCTTGAACCTATCAAAAAACTGAGGTTGTAGAGTGAAATTTTACCAGAAACTCTGGAAAGCAAAACCCAGAGAACCACAACCAAGACCTGCTTAGCTGGAGTAGCAGCCACTGGAGCTACACACTGACAGAAACACCTCCTGGGTAGAGGTTTGCCCCATCTAGAGGCTCCACATGGACTAGCTGCAAAGTGAGAGCCCTGGTCTTAGGAAGTCTTCAGCAATCTATGCATTCTCTTCTAGCAATTCCATCAGGTAAAGCCAATAAAACCCCCTCAAGGCCATGGCAGGAGAAGCATGAGTGACCCCGCTCACCTCAGAAGCTTCTCCGTAACAAAAGGCCTGCTCTCACAAATTAAAGACTTTACCAGTTATCGCCCATTCAGAGAATGGACATTTCTCTGACTCCAGTCCACTCTAGCCCATTCTAGCCTTTCTGTCTCACCTTACAGGATTAGGGGTGGGAAGAATTAAGAAGAAACATGTGTGAAGGTCACAGTTCAGGCACATAGGCCCCTGAAAGGACTGAGATTTAATCAGAAGATTGTAAGAGTGCTGCCCATAACCCACTCCTTACAACCATACCAACAGGGCTCCAGTGTAGTGGATTACAGCTGGAGGAGCTTCCAGATGCAGACCAGCCCTGAGGTGGAGTACTTAAAGAAGCCCAGAGTCAAGGGCATTGGGGTGGGGGGGCAAAAACAAGAGCACTGGAGGAATTTGGATCTTTTGGCACCTGCAGTTATAGTAAACATTACACATAGCCCAACTCCTAGGCAGATCAATAGAAAACCTTTCATTAAAGTCATATTTACTGCAATCCTTAGCATTTTTTTTTGGTGTTGTCTTTTTGTCGAAGAGACAAAAAGCAAGTGTAAGAAACAGGCTTAGATATGAGGCAGATGTTGCAATTATCAGCCATGGAATTTAAAGTAACTATAGTTATTAATTTAAAACTAATGAAAACATTAGACAGTAGAAGGAACATGGTAACTAATGCCTCGATGAAGCTGTGGCTCAGCAGAAGAGAGACTCCCAAACACAATTCAGATGTGGATGTCACCGAAGCAGCAAGGACAGGGTGACCAGCTGAACCCTCCAGAGCCCTGGACATACCTGCTTGTATGTGTCTTTGACTCCATTTTGCCATCTGAGCACGTCCCTCTCTTACATGAAGTGTTACACCTTACAACTAAAGGGCTACATAGGTGGGGAGGACACCATGGTGCCTTTTCTGCATATTATCTGGCTAATCCAACACAGGGAAGCTGCCTCCTTTCCAGGGGCACTCTCTTGCAGGAAGCCACCTGCAATCTCAGCTCTGACCAGACTGTGTTTTGGAACACTTTTCTTCAATTTCCAAAAGGAACTGTAAGCTACTGGCAATTTTCACCTGCAGAGGTGGCCAGGTGAAGAACAGCCCCTTCCTTACCTAGTCTGTGCCTGAGCACTGTGGAGATGGCCTCTCTCCCCCAAACTGTAAATACTCTACTGCTCTCTGAACAAAATTCCAGGCATAAAACCATATTATATAAATGTTCTGCTTTCTCCTGGATTTTCTTTCCTTCTTTCTTAAAAAAGTTACCAATTCTGTGGGAGACAGAGTGGGAGGATGGAGGTTCAAAGCCAGATTGAGCAAAATAAAGTTTGTAAGACCCCATCTCAATAAGAGCTGGGTATGGTGGTAAAAGCCTGCCAACCCAGCATGGCAAGCATAAACAGGATCACAGCCTAGGTCAGCCTGGGCATAAATGGTGAGACCCTATTCAAAAAATAACCAAAGTAAAAATGGCTGCCTAGCAAATTCAAGGCCCTGAATCCAAACCCCAGTGCTACACACACACACATAAAAGATTTTAAATTCTGAATAACTCCTGGGTCCATACAGTGACTAGTGTAGTTTACAATGTGGTCAGGGAGATGGTGAGGGAGAATCTGCTCCTTCCCACAAACAGCCTTCTTGGGTGCTAGCCATGAAGGAAGATGAAGGTCTCTGAAGTATGACTATTGGACAGCTCAGGCTGGGTGTGGGGAACAGTGACTGCAGCCCCTCATGGCTTCTCCCTCCACTCATTACCTACCTACCAAGTCACCTGGATCCACTGCTTATATGCAGTATATATGACTTTTATGAGTAGTCTATTTCAATATAATAATCTGCTTCTGGTCAAAATGGAGTAATGAACATTAAGATGGCCCTGAACAAAGGTCACCAAGTGGCACCCTACTGTACTACACCCAAGGAGTCCGAGTTCCAGCACCAGAAGCACAGTTCCTTGAGCGCCAGCGTGCTGTGGCATGGGGCCAGAGGAGCTCACAGACCTGACAGGTGCCCTCTCAACTGCCCAGCCTTCTTCCACGGTGGTTTCTCAGAGGGCTCAGGGGAGGGCTCCACAGAGCAGCAGTTATAGCTGCTTCTTCTAGCACATACTCACTAGGAAAAGAAAATCTATCACAGCCAAAGAATGCACAGGTGAGGAAGAAACATTTTGCCTTGGGCAGAAAACACCGCTAAAGAGTCAAGAAGTAATGACTTATGTGGAGGCACCTGAAGACAAAGGAAAACTGCAGCCTCAAAATTACAGATGAGGGCCAGGCATAATGGTGCACACCTGTAATCCTGGCTACTCGGTAGACTGAGATAGGAGGAATGTAGTTCCAATGTAGTTGTAGGTCAGCCCTGAAAAACAAACTTTACAAAAAGCAAATTTAAAAATGAAAGTGGTAGAGCGCTTGCACATAGCAAGCATGAGACCCAGAATTCAACCCCTAGTACTGAGAAAAAAAAAAAAAAGCCCCAAACTTCCAGAAGCACTTCAAGTTCATTCAATCCTGCCCCTTTGTGTATGTAGCCAGTCAGTCACCAGGTATTTACTGAGGACTTACTAGGTGCATGACTTTGCTCTATGTGCACAGGGAATTCCTGCACAGAGGTAGTCCCTGTTGATGTTTCTACCTGTCCCTAATTTTGGGTACCTGCCCAGCAGCCTCTCCCAGCTACCTGGCTGCATGCCTTCACGTGCAACCACTACAGGGCTGAAGACAAGAGGCATGGGCAGAATAAAAATCTGAAGGAGAGCCAGGCAGGGTGGTTCGTGTTTATAATCCCAACACTCAAAGGACAGAGGCAGGACGATCGTGAATTCCAGGTCAGCTTGGGCTACAATGAGACCCTGTCTCAAAAAAAAAAGTAAAGGACTCACCAGCTTGGCAGCTGCTCACCCACCCTTCTAAGAAACATTTACATTCTGTTCTAAGTACACTATACTTGCTTAATCTGCCTAACAAGCCTACTGGAAAGGTATTATCACTTTCCTAATTTTAAGGTGAGGACACTGAGGCAGAGAACTTAGGTAACCTGACAAAGTCACAGGGAACATGGTAGAGTAAGGCTGGACCCTGGGACGCCTGGGTCTAGTGTGTACCATTACCCACTGAGCACAATATTTAACAAATATGAGTGCATGTAGCTGTCTTCCTGACTGCAGCCACACTCCTGTAACCAAGAATCTCTGGTGCAGAAATTAAAAGAGCAACAATGACAAGATACAGGCGACTAGTAGCTGCAGCCCACATCAATGTCTCCAAATCCAGTGGCTGCTTGTGTGTGCTCAAAAGCTTTCTGTGAGGGAACAGGGACCAGGCAGCCCCAAAAACCAGTCCTGGTGGAGGTAGAGCTACACAGACCAACTTGGCACCCTAGCACTTTCAATTTAAATTAGCTACAATTATAGAAAATTTAAAATTCAGACCCCTTCAGGGCATTAACTGCCAAGTCACATGCAGCCAATGGTCACCATACTGGCCAACACAGTATGAACTCTATGGAATCCTAAAAAAGCTATTCTTTTGGCTGCCTTGTTCTAACACACATCTTTGTTCACTCTGGAAATCTTTTCCTGTTCCTCACTTCATCTCTACCCTATTACTTCAGTAGGACAACTTAATTCAGAGCTTTTTTAAAGTTTGTGGATGAAAGAGGCACCACTTACCAAGCAGGGCTTATAGAAATGATCAATATCTACTTATTATGTTACAAAAACAGTTTAAGCTCCTCAGAAGATGCAAATTTTTAAAAAAGGGTGCAATAATAGTAATAATTATATTACATACTTGTGACTTCTTGTAAGAAATCCAAACACGGTCGACTACTTCCCGAAATACTTATTGAAACAGCCAGTGGGGTCTGACCTTCATAGTTCCTTGTGTTCGTGTCTGCTCCATAGTTATACAACATCCGTGCACAGAGCACATCATCCCGAAGGGCAGACAAGTGTAAAGGAGTCTGTCCGTCCTCCAAGCGCCCCAAGTTTGTGTCTGCGCCTCTCTGAAGGAACATGCGACAGTAAGAGTGATTGCTCTTGATCACAGCGTACCGCAGCAGGAAACCGTTCTGAATGTCAATGTTGGCATTGTGGTCCAGGAGGATTTTCACACAGCTCGACCTCTCCCGGATGATGGCGAGCTGAAGCGGTGTCGTACCTTTATCACTGAGCGGGTCGACCTCGGCCTTGAACTCCAGAAGGAGTCGGACAAATGAGTCCCTGCCGTAGTGGGCAGCCACATGGAGGGGAGTCCAGCCGTCGTTGCTTTTCGCATTAATGATGTCACTCCTGTACTCCGATTCCAACATCAAGCGTGCGATCCGGGCCCGGCCGTGCATGGCAGCGTAATGAAGAGCAGTGAAGCCGCCAATCAAGTCCTTCACCGTGGGGTCAGCTAGAGTTAAAACCAAAATGAGAGCGAGCCTTAGCGGATGCTGACAAAACGTGCTCTCCCACGGCACAGCCCACGGTAGCTAATTCTCACACACAACGTGAAGGGATCTGACGTTACAAGGCACACGGGAGCGTTTTTCCTCAGCTTAATGGAAGTTGAGTTTCAATGGAAAATAAGTTTTAGCATAAAGCTACCAAGACTGAGTAAATGGAAGGAGAAAGACTTACACAGTGTTTCAAAAGAAATATGCCCAATACAGTTCAGAGGACCACGTCCCCTTCGCTATTTTAACCAAGTACCTTTGGCTATTCGACTGCCTCATTTCTGTATTACTTCATGTTTCTCTTTGGTTTTTATTTTTTGTTTTAGTTTCTCTTGTGCTTCTTCTTGTTCTTAAAGAGAAGCATGTGTAACATCTGCTGCTCTGAGTTACTGATGTACCATGGTTTGGCAGACTGTGTTGTTTTAGGATGTACTACATTAAAAAAAAAAAAAGAAAAAGAAAAAAGGCTTTCTGTGGTCTGTAAAAAAATTCCAAAGCATGTGAGATATATGTTAAGTGATCTTGATAAACCATGTTTTCATAAAATAAAACACGACTCCCAAGTCTTAGTTTTTACATAGCCTTGAGAATTTATAAGAAGCAGCAAATCATGCAAAAAATTGGGAAAAACCTCAGCAGTGTATAAGCATTATTTTTTTTAAGTTTAAAAAAAAAATCTCTCCTGAATCAACTGATTTCTGGGGGGATAAAACTATGAGAATTTATCAGTTATGTGACTCCTCAAATCATAGACTTCTGGCATCTGCCTTTGTCTCATGATGCAGGTCAGTTCTCTGTGGCTAGCACCCCCTGGCATTCCTGAGTGGTGGGTGGAACAGGGGCAAGAACTGGTCCCCTCACAGTATGGGCAACACTTCCTGAGAGCCAGCCAGTCAATGCAGAAGATTAACTGGTCAGACCCAACTACTAGGATTCAAATGCTTTCTTCTTGTGAAAGTCATCCATACTTTTTGGTTTGTTTATGGAAGAGAAAAAAATCATTGATGTTTTTCTCACACACAAAATGCTTCCAAATTTATGTGATTAAGCACTCATATACTATTTAGTAAAATGCTATTTAGTTCTAGAACATATTATGTAACAGCTGGATTCTCTCAGTGAAATCTGTGAGGCAGAAAATCATATGTTAAAATATTAGTAATACTGTACATTGAAAATTTCAGTTCAGGAGTTGCTAACACAGTCCATAAAAAGTAACATATTTAAGGTAATCTATCATTTGAATTTCTCAAAACATTTATATGAAGTGGCAGTACACAAAGGCAATGCTGCTTTTATCTATTTAGAGAAGTAAAGGAGTCCTGTCTGCATTAGTCTTAACTAAAAGAACACATCCAGTACCTATTTACTATGTAAACTTTTAAAAGGCAGGCAAGACTACAGCAAAGCATCTTGCTGCCATCTGCAGGAAAGGCAGGAGCATGAACTGGTCACACTGACAGCTGGGGCTGCGCTCCCAAGTGTTTCACAGACCTCGCTTATCTGAAGTAGACTAAGTGAAGACAGGCAGGGAAGCTAAGACCCCCTCCAATTCAAATAGAATGATAAATGTTACAACTGTTCTATTTGACAGTAAATTAAAATTGTGTTACATGAAATTGTACTTGCATATTTGGTTTCCACTGAAGGTCTTTTTTAGGTTCTACTTACACTTTGGTGCTATACTAAGCTAAGGAAAAATACAGATTAATGCACAGCAATGATCTCATTGGTCTTAGCAAAAATTATTCCAATGAATTAACTGAGTCAACCTGTGAACAAGGCAGGGAATGAAGAGCTGTAAGGTAACAATGTACAGAATTTGTCGTTACTTTTCCTCAAGAAACTGATGGCAAATGCGATCATACAAGGCATATGAAGATGTAAGCAAAACTTAAATTCAGGATTTCTATTAGCCAATGCAATAGGATAAGAAAAAGATCTAATTCCTAACAGCGATAGAAAGTACAAAACACTTAGAAGTAGTTCAGCAAGAAGTGAATAAAGCACATGCAAAGTCAACTTTGTTGACTGGAGTTACTTACTTCATCTATGTTGCTCATGTGTCCCTTCACCTTCCCTAAACACTTGGTCTAAGATAACCCCACCAAACTTGTTATTCTGTCTACTGAAAAAACTTCATGGTGAAATAAAAATAAACATTCCTGTGATGAGCGTTTCTTTTTTCAAAAGCTTTACTGTGTTGAAATAAAACCTCACTTCTGTTAAGTACATAAATTGCTGGGTGCTGAGACTGCAGAGACACACAGTCACATAACCACAATTATAGTAGAAATACACATTTCGAATGCCTCAAAAAGTTTCTCTGTGCCGTTTCACAGTCAGCTCCCTGCCCAGACTCTTGAGCCCAAGAGCACCACTATCTGTAAAGATAAAGGGCTGTATGCAAACCTCTGTCTGACTTACTTCACTTAGCATCACATTCTTGAAATCATCCGTGCTGCTGTCCCAACAATTCATTCCTTTGCATTGCTGAATAGCATTCCAAAGTATGAGCAACATGAAAACTTTTATTTGTATTTATATGCAGGTGGACATGAGTTATTCTCAATTTGTGGCTGTCTGAATGATACTACCATGTACATTCATGTGCAAGTGTGTACGTGGGTTTATGTTTTCAGTTCACCTAAGTAAATACCTCATAGAAAACTGTTGGTCATATGTGAAATGTGCATCTAACTTTATAAGATACTGCCAAGTTGACAGAATGACTAAATATTCTACATTCTCAGCAATGGGAATCCATGGGAGTTCCACTTGTTCCACAACTTGGCATCATTGTTACTTTTAATTTTACCCATTAAGAGAGTGAATGGTAGCTTATTATGCTTTTAATTTACATTTTCCACATAACTAGTAATACTGGGCTTATTCCTAGACTTTCTTTTGTGAATTAACTGCTCACATCATTCATCAATTTTTTTTACGGTATCTCAATGAATTATAAAAATTCCTTATATATTCTCCCTCTAAGCCCTTTCTCAAATATGCTCTGTAAATATTTTCTCCTCGCCTGTTGCTTGCCTTTTCACTTTATATAGTATTTTAGAGGTATTTTGATTTAATCTATTATCATTTTCTTCTTTTACTGATTTATTTTTTTTAAGGCTTTAAAAAACTTTTGCCCAATACACTATCACAAAGATACCTGCTTTTTTGTAGGAGTTTTACACTTTAAACTCTTACGCTTAGGTCAAAGATCTACTGCTAATTTCCGTGTATGATGTAAAGACCATACAGATGTCTACTTGCTCTAGCACAATTTGTTTAAAAGTCTATCTTTCCCCAATGATTTACCCTGGTGTCTTTGCTGAAAACCAGTTTATGATGTAAGTGTACCTCTATTTCTGAACTGTTTTGTTCCACCAATCTAAGTCTTTCCAAGTGTGCATGGTAGCACACACTTGCAAACCCAGCACCCACGAGATGAAGGCAAGAGGATCATGAGTTTGAGGCTAACCTGGGGTAGATAGCAAGACCCTGTCCTAAAATACCAAAGGGCTTGGTAAATACCAAGGACTCAGCAGCAAAATGCTTGCCTGGCATGAACAGTACCAGGCACAATACTCAGTACCACAAAAAAAAAAAAAAAAAAAGAAAAGAAAAAAAAGATATACCCATACCAGAATGCCTTAATTATTGAAGCTTTAGAGTATGTTTTGATAGCAGGTAGTGTAAGTCCCCAACCTTTTAAAAAATTATTTTGGCTAAGCTGGGCCTGGTGGCTCACACTTGTAATCTCAGCTATGGGAGGCATAAGTAGAAGGATGGTGATACTATGAGGCCAGTCCCAGACAAAAATGGGAGACCTACCCAAAAAATAACTGAAGCAAAAAAGGGCTGGGGGTGTGGCTCAAGTATATTATTAGCATCAGCTTGACAATTTCTTCAGACAAGCCTCTGGAATTCTGACTAAAACTTCACCGACTCTAAAGATGGCAATTTCCCCAAGATGATCCATGCGCTGATTCTTCCAAAGAATGGACATGGAATATTTCTCCATTTATTGACAGTTCCTCTTGGCAATGATTTAGTATATATGCTGTGTACTTCTTTCATTAAATTTATTATTAAAAAAGATTTAATTTTGTTGCTATTATAATGAGCTAAAATTTCTCTTTCCAAATGTTAACAGATAAGAAAAATTTAGTTTGTAATACTGACCTGTAATCTAGCTAAATTCACATTTTAATTCTAGTACAATCTGTAGAGTGCTATGATTTTTTACATGTGCGATTAAGGCAGTTTTAGGTCTTCTTTTCCACTTTATTGTTCTGCTCTTACTACAATGTTGAATAAAAGAGAATGATGAATAAAAATGGCAAAAGCACATACCCTTGCCTTGTTCTTGATCTTAGAGGGCAACATTCATGAGTTCATCACTGAGTACAAAGAAAGCTGCAGGTTTCATAAATGCTTTCCTTAGGTTCAGAAGTTACCTTCTGGTTTGCTCAGTCTTCACCCTGAATGAGTACTTAGTGTTGTCACAGGCATTTTATGCATCTACTGAAATCATCATTTGGTACTTACCTTTTATTCTATTAACACAGTAAATTATACTATCATTTCTGGAGGTTAAACAGTGAATTCCTGGGATAAATACTACTGGGCCATAATGGAATATCCCTTTTTATATCCTGATGGATTTGATTTACATGTATTTAGTTAAGAACTTTTCTAACTGTTGTCACAAAGGGTACTGGTCCATAGTTTTCTTTTCTTCATATGTATTTTGTTTCATAGAAGGGTAATGCAAGCCTATACAGCAAGTTAGGAAGTGTTCCTTTCTTCACTTTGAGTCTATATAGGATTATTACTTGGTCCTTTAATACTTAAAATAATTCAATGGAGAAGCCAGCTGGGCCTAAAGCGTTCTTCATGGAAAGTCTTATGAACTAAATTATTTCTTAAATTGATATTTGGCTGTAATATTTTG